TGTATACAGTAGTTCAATTGATCTGTTTGTCCACAACGGGCCGCCAACAGTAGCCGTTATAACAGTAATCTTGGCTATTAAATTGATCAGCTGAGTTCCTGTTTCGTCTAATGAAGGCTTATAGCACAGGTGAAAGTAGGGAAGTGAAAGCGAGTGAAAGTTGTATGAAATTTGAATGAAAGACTGAGTGAATTTTTGAGTGAAGAGTCAAGTGAAAGTTTGAATGAAAGTTTTAGTGAAAGTTTAAGTGAAAGTCGACTGAAAATTTGAGAATGAAACTAGATGAAAACTATAGGAATGAAGTGTAGTGAAAAATAGGATAAAAATTGAGTGAACGATGTGAAAATTGGGATAGAAAATGAGTGGGAAGGGGGACGGGGAGGAGGGGGAAGGAGGAAGAGGGAGAGAGGAAGGGGAAGGAGGAGAGGGGGAAGGAGGAAGAGGTGGGAAGGGGGAAGGAGGGGAAGAGGGAAGGGAAGGAGAATACAGGTAGATTTAAGGGTAGACTCAACTATTCACAAAATCCCTTGAGTTCTGTCGCAAAATGACTCCTGACCACATTAAATGATTTTCTTCCTTCCCACCATTATCTTTCCGCCATATTTGAACGCCTCGCTGAAGACATGAAGGGAGGGGAGGAAAGTAGTGGAGGAAAAAGTATTGAAACTTTCCGCTAGAGTAGAAAACTAGGGATATTTTGGGTGTGGTTGAGAGGGGTGTTGTGAGAGGGGTGTTGTGAGAGGGGTGTGGAAGGGAGGGGTGTTGTGAGAGGGGGAGTTGTGAGAGGGGTGTGGAAGGAGGTGTTGTTGTGAGAGAGGGGTGTGGAAAGGGAGGGTGTTGTGAGAGGGATTTATAGAGAGGGTGTTGTGAGAGGGGGTGTGGAAGGGAGAGTGTTGTGAGGGGGGTTGTGAGAGGGTGGCTGGAAGGAGGGGTGTTGTGAGAGGGGTGTGGAAGGGAGGGGTGTTGTGAGAGGGGTGTTGTGAGAAGGGTGTTGTGAGAGGGTTGGGTGAGAGGGGACGGTGAGAGAGAGGAGATGGGAGGGTAGGATGAGAAGGGTGGGATGAGAGGGATGGATGAGAGGTGATCGTGAGACAGGTGAATGAGAGGGGTTGGTAAGAGCGGGTTTTCTGAGAGGAATGGATGAAAGGGGATGGTGAGAGGGACGAGATGAGAGGGGTGAATGAGAGGGGTTAAAGCCCACATAAAAGACCAGAACTTAAGACATATTTTAAAAGGTTTCGATTCTCCATGTGCAGGTTTCTAGTGGTATCTGATTCCCTTAAGAGGATTTCACCCCTCACAAAGGACCTTTTTATAACACAGGATATAATTAGGAAGGTTTCTAATTCCCCTTACATGGTTTCTAGTGATATCTAATTAATCTGGGGAGGTTTTAATCCACTTTTAAAGGTTTCTAAGGCGATGCGATTCTATTAAAAAGGTTTCAATTGCTTTCTTGGTGGTTTCTGGTTTCAGTTTTCGCCTCAGTTGACGAGAAAGTTACTTGGAAAGGTTTAAACACTCTTTGAATAGGTTCTAATTATATAAGCTTAGTCTAGAGAAGGTTTAAACTCTCTTTTGTGATTATTTAACGAAGAAAGTCACTTAAAAAGGTTCCAACACTATCTTAACATCACAATTCAAAAAGAAAGTCACTTAAAAAGGTTCCAACACTCTTTTACAACTCACCAAATACTTTAGAAAGGTTCCAATATTTTCTCATCGTATCTGAAAGCCCAACCAATAGCGTAAGAACTTCCCGACTTTCTCCTTGGAATCGAATCACTTTAGAAAGGTTCTGATACTTTCTCTCGGCGACGTGAGGAAGAAAATCAGCTTAGAAAGTTTCGAGTTTATTTTTTTAGAAAGTAGACGAGGCAAAGGTTAGGTTAGATTAGGTTTTGAGACAATATAGAGGTTCTGATCCCATCTGAAGAGTGTTGGGTGAGAGAACATTAAGTATAAACGATTCTAAACATATCAAAATAGATTCTAATTCTATTCCATGATTATTTGACGAGATAAAGTACTTTTATAAAGGTTCCAAACAGATAAAAAAGGTTCTAATTCTACCCCAAGAGTGTTCAACTGGATTAAATAACTCCGGAAAGGTTCTCAACAGATCAGAGAGGTTCTAATTCTACCTGAAGTATATTTATCAAGAGAAAATGAACCTAGAAAGGCTTCAATTCTCTCTCATCAATAAGAAAAAACAAAAACGAATCACTTCAACAAGATCCAACTCTCTTCCTGGATATTCTGAGAGTTATAAAGGATTCTAACTCCTTTAAATACATATATAAAAGTACTTAAATTCACTTAAAACTTTGATGATATATTTTAAGTGAATTTACTTAAAGAAAATGCACTTATAAGTACATTAAACACTTGTAAAATAATTAAAATAATCCTCCAGCAGCAACAGAAAATTAATAATTATATATTTAAGGCTTAATTATCACTTAAATACGTATAAAAGTAAATACAAATTACTTAACAACATTCATACTATCTCTTAAGTGTCTCTACTTAAATAATATCCACTTATAATACCCTCAAGCACTTATATAAACACTTAAATATGACCCAATAAGAAGGCAAATAACCCGACTTATTCAATAGATATAACACGACTCAACCCTCCCCCTTACCATCCCTCCCCCTTACTCCCTCAACCCCTCCCTCTACTCCCTCACCCTCCCCCTTACCCCCTCTCTACTCCCTCACCCTCCCCCTTACCCCCTCCCTCTACTCCCCACCCTCCCTTACCGCCACTTCTCCCCCAATGAGATCTGACAAAAGCGAATCACTTTAAAAGGATCAAACTCCATCCCAGGAAGATCTGATCCCCAACACGCGACCTCACTCAGGGGGTTCGAATCCCTTTGGTGCTGATCGTCATTTGTTACGGCTTGGTGAGTCTATACAGGGCGTCGACCTCCCACCTCTAGTTCAACTTCCTTTTGCTAATTAACTGATGCTGTGTTATGCTGTGTTAAGGCTGTGTTGAAGCTGTGTTGAGGCTGTGTTATGCTGTGTTGAAGCTGTGTTATGCTGTGTTGAGGCTGTGTTATGCTGTGTTGAAGCTGTGTTATGCTGTGTTGAGGCTGTGTTGAGCTGTGTTGAGGCTGTGTTGTGCTGTGTTGGGGCTGTGTTGAAGCTGTGTTGAAGCTGTGTTATGCTGTGTTGGAAGCTGTGTTATGCTGTGTTGAGGCTGTGGAGCTGTGTTGAGGCACAATGTTGTGCTGTGTTGAGGCTGTGTTTATGCTGGTGAGGCTGTGTTGAGCTGTGTTGAGGCTGTGTTGTGCTGTGTTGAGGCTGTGTTGAGGCTGTGTTGAAGCTGTGTTATGCAATGTTGAAGCTGTGTTATGCTGTGTTGAGGCTGTGTGTTTGAGCTGTGTTGAGGCTGTGTTATGCTGTGTTGAGGCTGTGTTATACTTTGTGTTGAAGCTGTGTTGCTTGCTGTGTGTTGAGGCTGTGTTATGCTGTGTTGAAGCTGTGTTATGCTGTGTTGAGGCTGTGTTATGCTGTGTTGAGGCTGTGTTATGCTGTGTTGATGCTGTGTTGAAGCTGTGTTATGTTGTGTTGAATCTGTGTTATGTTGTGTTATGCTGTGTTGAAGCTGTGTTATGTTGTGTTATGCTGTGTTATGCTGTGTTGAAGCTGTGTTATGTTGTGTTGAATCTGTGTTATGTTGTGTTATGCTGTGTTATGATGTGTTGATGCTGTGTTATGCTGTGTTGAGGCTGTGTTATGCTGTGTTATGCTGTGTTATGCTGTGTTATGCTGCGTTATGCTGTGGTGTTGGTGTTAAGGAGGAGGAGGGGGAAGGGGAGAAGGAGGAGGAGAAGAAGAACAACAACTACAAGGAGAAGAGGAGGAGGAGAAGAACAAGAAGAACAAGAACAAGAACAAGAACAAAGAGAGAAGAACAAGAACAAAGAGAGAAGAAGAACTTGAAGAAGAACAAGAACAGCCTAGACTAACCTAACTATACAAAGATAAATCAGAACAAAATAACAAAGGAATAAAAGAAAATAAGAAAAACGAATAAAAATTAATAAAGTTTGGAAGATAACGAAAGAATGAGAGAGAGAGAGAGAGGAGATAACGATCTGACTTTAGTCTTTGTGAGCAATTAAACTTGGAGACTCTCTCTCTCTCTCTCTCTCTCTCTCTCTCTCTCTCTCTCTCTCTCTCTCATTCTCTGTGTCTGTTTCTATTTCCTTTCTTCTCCTTTACACACACACACACACACACACACACACATATGCCAGAGTGTGTTGAGAGACACTTCAATACTTAAGAGGTGCCACTATAACGCAATTAAGTAGACACGGATAAGTGGCTTGTTGAAGAGAGAGAGAGAGAGAGAGAGAGAGAGAGTGAGAGAGAGAGAGATTATTCAAGGTGTCTTCATTCTCTATCTCTCTGCTGTCTAGTCTTTCTCTCTCTCTCTCTCTCTCCACTCCTGTATTTCATTCCCTCTCCTAACCCCTCTCTATCACTCCTTACTTCCCTCACCACTCCCCTCCTCCCAGTACCCCAACAACTCCCCTTCGTCCCCAACATTCTACCCCTCACCATTAACCTCCCCCCTCCCTCACCCCCCCTCTCACCCCCTCTCCCCAGGTCCCCAGGTTGGCACAGTGTCAAGTCGCTGCCATACAGAGAGAGCAGAGGTGAGAGAGAGAGAGAGAGAGAGAGAGAGAGAGGGGGGCTACTACCCTTCGTTCACCTCCTTTACCACACTGTCCGAAGAGAGAAAGAGAGGGGACACACCACACTGCTAAAAGAGACCAAGTGTTGTGGTAATATCTGGACAAACTTTACCACACAAACACGAACATTTATGAAACATTAAACCAAACATTATTATAATACTTTCCTTAATAAACTACTAATATCTTTATAGTCTCTAGGTTAGTATAGTCACTGGGTACTTGAGTCACCATCTTTGAGTCACCATCTTTGAGTCACTGGGTACTTGAGTCACCATCTTAGTCACTGGATACTTGAGTCACTATCCTGGCAGAGTCACTGGGTACTTGAGTCACTATCCTGGTAGAGTCGCTGGGTACTTGAGTCACCATTTTATAGTCACTGGGTACAACAGCTGCCATTTTTAACCATTCCTGACAATCGTTTACACATTTATTCTCAAAGGTTCGTATATCTCACATTTCTCTCGTCTTGTGAGGTTGATAGAGTCTCAGGACAAATTTACCGCCATCTTACAGTCTCTGGGTACTTCAACCGCCATATTTAGCGACCACTATGATGACCTCACACTCCGGTGCTACAATGGCTGACAACCTTCATATATCCTGGTGTTCACGACTGAGTGACCTGATATCCTGTCGAGTTAAATCTTCCAATTCTAACGGTTTTTAACTGCCATAACGGTCCTAACCGCCACAACAGCCGTCCTATAACGAACTTTTCTAACGGTCCTATTATTTTTAAACCTCCATAGCTGTTTTATCGGCCATTACGGTCCTAACGGTTTTTAACGGTCCTACCCACCCTAACCGACATAACCGTCCTAACGATTTTCCATCCGTTTGGAAAATTTAAACCTCCACTTCAACCGCTACTTCCCAAAAGCCAAACCCGGAGGAGGAGGAGGAGAAGAAGGAAGAAGAGTAAGAGGAGGAAAAAGAGGTGGAGGGGAAGGAGGGAGAAGTGGATGAGGAGGAGGAGGAAGAAAAAGGGTAAAGAATAATATATGATAAAGGAGGAATGAGGAATAATTAAGAAGAAGAAGAGGAGGAGGAGGAGGAAGGAGAAATAATAATAATAATAAGAAGAAGAAAAAGAAGAGGAAGAAGAAGAAAGAGGAGGAGGAGGAGGAGGAGGAAGAAGAACTCAAAGACCAGAATAAGGAGACAACATAATGGTTTCCGCCGACCCTTCCTGCCGCCATCTTGTGAGGAGGAGGAAGAAGAGGAGGAGGAGGAGGAGGAGGAAGAGGCGATGGGAGAGATGGAGGAGGAGAAGGATGAGGAGATGAAGGAGGAAGTGATGGGAGAGAAGGAAGAGGAGGAACAGGAGGAGGAGGAGGAAGTCATTGATGTAAGAAGAAAAGAGGAAGAAACAAAGAGAAGAAAGAAGGGAAAAGAGGAGGAGAAAGAGGAAGAGGTAATAGACAAGGGAAGTAAAGACGAGAGAGAGAGAGTAGGAAGCAATAAACGGGAAAGAGAAAGGGAGAGAAGAACAAAGAGAGAAAGTGAGAGAGAGAGAGAGAGAGAGAGAGAGAGAGAGAGAGAGAGAAAGGAGACGAAGGAGAGAAAGGAGACGAAAGAGAGAGAAAAAGAAAAAGGAAATATATATATAGAGAAAGAAGACGAAAGAGAGAGAGAGAGAGACACTGTACTCGACCACCTTCACTTCCTCAACTGTAACGTCAGGTGCCCAGAAAAATACCCTCAAATCCCTCCAAAAATATTCCGAAATCGTTAAAATATTCGCGAATGGAAATACTTTGTTTATTTTCTTTAATTCTAATGTGACCAATAAAGTGTTTTACCTGTAATATTGGATCACTTTAATATTATTATTATTATTATTTTTATATTAATAATGATAATAATAATAATAATAATAATAATAATAATAATAATAAAAATAATAATAACAGCAACAACACACCATTAAGCCATAATCACGGGTCAATCCATAAAATAATCGACCTAATGGAATCCCTCAGCCTATGACGTCACATCCACTAATGGCGTCGCCTCTGTTAATCGACTCCCACAAAACACCTTGTCAAGTCGGCATTACGGACACTTACCGGACCGACCCTATTTAATCAATAAAGCCTCATGGGGGGAGGGGGGGTCCCTATTTACTCTGGCCGGCGGGTAAATTGGCTGATGGTAATTGGGGAAGGAGTATTTAAGAGTTACTTGTTATTTTAGCATTATCTTACCCCCATGAGGCCGCACGCGCCCACAGATCAACTCTTGATATCGTTGTCCGATTTCACCTCTGGCTTCGACTTCGATAAATACCATAACATCAATTATTCCCTCAATCTTTCATATATACCTTCATGTAATTTAATATTTACTTATTAATCAAAGTAAATTATGTAAAAATAACAATAATTTATGAGTTTATTTAGGAATTATTGAAGGTAATAAATGTTTAGAGTTTCGGACGCATTTATCAGGTTAATCTCGTGTTATTGATATTGATGATCTTCTAAAAACGTAATGTAATGCTTCTAATTACATTCATGACGTAACAGATAATTATAATCACCTCGAAAATTAAGTTAGTAAATTAATTAAAAGTTTTGTAACGTGAAATATGAGTCAGAGATACGAGATTATAATTAATATTTAACTATCATTAATTTCTAACCTAACCTAACCTAACCAAACCCGCCATTATGTCTAAAGAGATAAAGCCACCAAGCCCGTTAATGAAGCCAGGCTCGCTCCCCGTTGGTCTTTTGTCTCAGTAAAGATGATGATTTGTTATTCACTAACTGGCAACACTCATCATCATCATCTAGTCCAACATTATCAATTTACTGTCTGGCTGACTTCGCATCCCTCAATTAAAACATTAAATCATTCAATAAACCATAGAGTCGGTAATTAAACCATCTGATAATTAAAACTAAAACGATAATTAATAATATTTAGTTACTAATGAGTATAAATCATAGTGTTTGTTTGTTTATTTAAAGAATGGATAATTTTAACGAAGTAGAAACCCTGATGGAAGGATCCGGACAAGTGGCGTTGTAATCCTGCGTAAATCCATTGTAGACCAGCCAAGTAATTTAGCGGCGCGTAAATTTAGCGACACCTTTTCGGACCACTGGTTTATGGCGTCCCCAAAACGTGAGATCAGATAATATTTTATCATTGGGTGAGTTTCTCAGTTCGATTATGAGAGGGAAAGTCTAGAGGTAAAATTATGGACGTTGGCGGGGGAAGAGTGGAGACACGACAGCGAAAATAAGTGATCGGGGAAAAGATTTGGCGGGTGTAAATCAAGGCGTCTCTCCCCTCACACACGGGATTGATAGTGGTGGCGGGTAGAGGGTGATCATTGGCGGGTTTTGCTGCTGTTGGCTACATCACGCCAAATTGTACACCTTTATGGCTAAATCACGCCAAATTGTAGCCTTCCTCTTCCTCACTATAACACCATAATACACAGATAATAATAATGGTTGCCCCTCGTGTAACAGTGATGGCCGGCCCAGGGGCCACCTAGGCGTGAATTTAAGGTGTAGAAGCTGTCGCCAACACAACAACCACACCCTAAGTTAACGAGCTGCATGACCCAGTGTTTAAGGTGTAGAAGCTGTCATAACACAACAACCACACCCTAAGTTAACGAGCTGCATGACCCAGTGTTTAAGTTGTAGAAGCTGTCGCCAACACAACAACCACACCCTAAGTTAATGAGCTGCATGACCCAGTGTTTAAGTTGTAGAAGCTGTCGCCAACACAACAACCACACCCTAAGTTAACGAGCTGCATGACCCAGTGTTTAAGGTGTAGAAGCTGTCGCCAACACAACAACCACACCCTAAGTTAACGAGCTGTATGACCCAGTGTCAAAGAATAGTCCGAGAACACCGGACAACTCGCCAACTGCACTGGCTAACCATTACCCCGGAACATGATCCACAAATCGATTAACATCCAGATCCCCAATCACTGCTGGGTAGACAGAGGCAAATAGCGTAAAGAACTAGCCCATAGTTTCACCCTGCTAGGGGATCGAACCCGGGTCCACTCTCTTGTGAGGCGAGCATGCTGACCATTACACGACAGATCGCCAATATATACAGACATACAAATAATACTTGAAGTTAAGCTCTCATCTGACTACCTTCGCTTAGTAACCACAACGCCTCATTTGACTATTTTACACCCTTCTGCATATCATATCACGTAAATCTACCCCCTCCCCTCCCTTTATACACTTCTATACACCATAATACACACACATACACATAATACAGCCTCTCACTACACCTAGGGGAGGATTTCTGGGGTCGGATCTGATTTCATTCGCTGGGGAGTGTTCGATGCCTTATTTCAAACCCCTTCTGTGTGTGATGCGAGCTTATTCCACGCTAATCTGGCCTTATTTACTGCCCTATACATTAATATACACCATATTCCACAAACATACACGTGATCCTTCAAGCTACACCCAGAAATAAGGTGTATGGAGGTGTATTGAGTTCATTCGTTGGGGTGTATTCATTGCCTTAGTTCCATCTTCCCTCAATACACAGAAAATACACAACTATACACCACTTCTAGGTAATACACCCCGTTAGAGATGTATAGAGGTGTGTATTGGGTGTGGTAGTTAGTTCAGTAAGATTAATTCATTGTGTATTGAATAATATAACGTAAAATTGTTGTATTCATTTCTTATACAAAAAATACACAAATATACATAAATATACACAAATCTATACTAAAATATATACAAATATACGCAAATCTATACAAATATACGCAAATCTATACAAATATACACAAACTATACAAAACGTTCTATACAAATATACGCAAATCATACAAAATCTGCGCAAATCTATACAAATACGACCACACCGATATACCCGATTTTAACGTATATTTAAATCATAATAAAAATTCAATCGGTGGAGAAGTTGGATGGGTTAACCACCCCGATATAAACCACCAATATTACACAAGACATCGGGAGAAAGAAAACGACGGGGAGCAGCTGTTTCGTGCTGATTTATCCGACTAATCAATCCCGCATGGCTATTAATTGACAGGAGGCAATTATATTAATTATCTGTTAAATATCTTAATTAAAAAGGGTCGTTTTGACCGGAGGGGGGGGGGGCTGTGACCGTTACTCAACACCCGATCACAAGTTCTTTTAACAAATATTTCGAAGATTCCAATACTGTGATTTATTTGAATTATTTTACGTATTTTTTTACTTAATTTAATATTTCCAATTATCAGTAAAGGTCTAGTTTATTATATTTTAAATTATTTTACTACCACTAATACTACTACTACTACTACCACTACTACTACTACTTCTACTACTACCACCACTACTACTACTACTACTACTACTACTACGACTACTACTATTACTACTACTACTACTAATGAAATAATAATAACACTACTGCTACTACTAAAACTACTATCACTACTACTACTACTACTACTACTACTACCACCACCATTACTACTACTACCACCTACCTGTATTCTTGTGGTCGTGAGGCGTATCTCTACCATCAGGAGTCGTAGCGGCAGATGGTAACGACACATTACTACTACTACTAGTCGTCGTAATAGTGCTAGTAGAATGGTCGTGGTCGTTGTGGTGATGGTGGTGGTGGTGGGTACGAAGGTGGGGTAGTAGTGATGACGTGTACCCACCCCCTACCCCCCCTTTATGGTCGTCACCTCGGCCCCCCACCGCCATGGAGGTGACTGCCTTAATTGGGTCCATTCCACCTGCGGCACAGCTGGCCAGTCCTGGGAACCTGGCGGGGCAAAACAAAGATGACTCAGCGATATTATAATGTAAATAAAGATGACTCAGCGATATTATAATGTAAACAAAGATGACTCAGCGATATTATAATGTAAACAAAGATGACTCAGCGATATTATAATGTAAATAAAGATGACTCAGCGATATTATAATGTAAATAAAGATGACTCAGCGATATTATAATGTAAACAAAGATGACTCAGCGATATTATAAAGATGACTCAGCGATATTATAATGTAAACAAAGATGACTCAGCGATATTATAATGTAAATAAAGATGACTCAGCGATATTATAATGTAAACAAAGATGACTCAGCGATATTATAATGTAAACAAAGATGACTCAGCGATATTATAATGTAAACAAAGATGACTCAGCGATATTATAATGTAAATAAAGATGACTCAGCGATATTATAATGTAAATAAAGATGACTCAGCGATATTATAATGTAAACAAAGATGACTCAGCGATATTATAATGTAAATAAAGATGACTCAGCGATATTATAATGTAAATAAAGATGACTCAGCGATATTATAATGTAAACAAAGATGACTCAGCGATATTATAATGTAAATAAAGATGACTCAGCGATATTATAATGTAAATAAAGATGACTCAGCGATATTATAATGTAAACAAAGATGACTCAGCGATATTATAATGTAAATAAAGATGACTCAGCGATATTATAATGTAAACAAAGATGACTCAGCTATATATAGATTGACAAGAGAGGAATAGGAGCATAATAGATATAGATAGATAGACAGATAGATAGATAGACTTACCTATAGGTACAGGCTGACCAATCAGGAGCCACCACTTCCTCGCTCTTGATGTTGAGTGGTGAAGTCATCATGGTGGTCCCGCCCCCTAGTGCCAGGCCTGGGGGAGTACAGTGTATGTTAGTACTTCTGTGTGTGTGTGTGTGTGTGTGTGTGTGTGTGTGTGTGTGTGTGTGTGTGTGTGTGCATGTTGAAGATACAGTCATCACCTGTACTATTTACCTGTACCTTTTCTCTCTCTCACTCACTCACTTTCTCTCTCTCTATCTACAAACATTTTTCTCTCACTAAATTAACCAGTTCTCTCTCTCTCTCTCTCTCTCTCTCTCTCTCTCTCTCTCTCTCTCTCTCTCTCTCTCTCTCACCTTGCGTCTTGTTCTGCAGGTTGTGGGTCAGCAGGCCACGCTTCAGGTCCAAGGGGTTCTGGTAGGTGCAGGCTGAGGCAGGTCCTTCATACATCTTGGTGAGGCTAATTTAACTTTTGTTCCCACGCTGGAGGTAATTTTCCCACGCTCACTGGATTTTTCTCACGCTCACCTCTAGGCTCTCATGCTCCTTGGAATGGTTCTATGTCATGCTCACCGCTATTTTCCCATGCTCTGATGCTATTTTCCCCACGGTAAGTACTATTTTCCCATACCCGACACTTTTTTCCCACGCTTAGAACTATTTTCTCACGCCCTAATAATTTTTTCCCGCGGTAACTATTTATCACAGTTCCTCCCCCTATTTCCCAAGCCCTATTACTATTTTCCTACTGTAAGCACTATTTTCCCACGCTAAGCACTATTTTCCCACGCTAAGAACTATTTTCCCAAGCTCACCACAAATTTGACACGCTTGTAGACATTTTCCCATGCTCATTACTATTTTTCCACACCCACAACATTTATTCCCAGAGTCATTGTTATTTTCCCACGGTTATAACTATTTTCCCACGCCTACAACACTAACCCGGCTATTATTTCCCACGCTCAGGGCAATATTCCCACGCTCAGGACAATATTCCCACGCTCAGGACAATATTCCCACGCTCAGGACAATATTCCCACGCACTCCAGCTACCTCACGCCCACACTCAGCTACCTCACGCTCACACTCAGCTCCCTCACGCCCACACTGAAATAGTGGGCGTGGCAATTCTGTGGAGAGAAAAGAATTGAAATTAGATAAACATTTGTAAATATATTTAACATTATCATAATAAGTTAACGTTGGGATCACCTGATGACTAGGCCCCCAGCTTATTTCACCTGATTAGGCCCCCAGCTTATTTCACCTGATTAGGCCCCCAGCTTATTTCACCTGAAGATTAGACAAGCTATCTCTAGCTATGGATGTTAGGTTAGGTTAAAATTAGATTAGGTTTGGTTAGAATTTGGTTAGGTCTGGTTAGGCTACTCTTAAGGTGGGTTAAGCTGAAGGTCTAATCTTAAAGTGAACCAATTTTTCTACAACATTATAAATAGAGAGAGAGAGAGAGAGAGGTACCATCTCTCCTAAGAGGGGAGACCACATACTAATGGTTAGATAGCGTGACACTTCCCCTTTCCTCCCCTCACTCCCTAGACACATCTCTCCTCCTCTCCCCTCACCCCTAACCTTCCTTCTCACTGTCTCGCCTTTCCCCCTCTTCCTTCCCTTTACTCTTTCCCCTTCCTTCCTTTTCTCTCACCCCTATTTCCCCTCTGTTCCTCCTCTCCCCTCACACCGTCTCCTCCTCTCCCCTCACTAGCAATATAATTCCTTTCCTTCTCCCATTTCCTTCTCACATCCTCTCTCTCTTCTCTCTCCCTCTCTCTTCTTCTTTCTCTCTTTGTTTCGTCTTTCATCTTTCTTCTCTGCTTAGCCTGTCTTTCATTTCTCTCACTCAAATTTGATACGGTCACACAAACACGCCAAAATATTACTCAATTTCTAAATTAATTCAGAACACAAGAGTCGCTGGTTCTATCCCCGGGGCGCCCAAGTGGTCCACCCAGGTGCAGAATGGGGTACCTCCTTGTACCAAGACTAAGTAGAGAGAGAGAGGAGAGAGAGAGAGAGAGAGAGAGAGAGAGAGAGAGAGAGAGAGAGAGCGAGAGAGAGACACAACACCAGGTTATAAGCACAGAGAGAGAGAGAGAGGAAGAGAGATTGATAGAGCGAGAGATAGAGATAATGAGGTGAAGAAATAAAGGAAAATAAATAGAGAGAGAGACAGACACGAACAGAGACAAAGAGAGAGAAAGAGAAATAGTGACACAGATAAATAGGTATATAAACAGAGAGACGATAACCTAATAGATAAAGAGAGAGAGAATTAAATAAACAAAGACATGAATAGAGAGAGAGAGAGAGAGAGAGAGAGAGAGAGAGAGAGAGAGAGAGAGAGAGAGAGAGAGAGAGAGAGAGAGAGAGAGAGAGAGAGAGAGAGAGAGAGAGAGAGAGAGAGAGAGAGAGAGAGAGAGAGATTTCCAGTCACAAAATCACCAAAAAAACTAAAATACCTCAAAACAAGACAGAAAACACCACCAAAATAATGGATTTTTTTTAATAACCACCACATTTATTCGGATATTCCCTGGAATTTTCTTATCCGAATTTCCTTCTCTCTAACGGAAATATAAGCCGGTATTCGTGAGTGGATAAAAACCGCCATAAAACCTTGTATACAAAACCACAAAAGTATAAAAAGTTACGCCATAAAAAAGTATTAAGAAATTCCTCCCCAAAATATAATCCCAAGGCAGGTTGGAGTAGGGTGGAGAGGTGGGCGGAGTCTGTTTATCGCTTGGCTCCTCCCACACCGGACGAAGGCCAATCAGCTATCCCCCGGCAAGTACGTCATAGCCTCTTGACCAATCAACGAGAAGGATGTAGTTACCAGAGGCTGCTAGATTTATGGTCGCTGCCGCCGCCCCATATGTAAACAAACCCCGACTCGATAATCTCAAGTTGTTTATTTTTTACTGTTTGTTTGTTGTTTATCAGTTGTTTACACTATTAATGTTAACTAAACATAAAATAACAAATAAATAAACAAAATTTAACCCTAAAATCACCTAAATTAACGAAAAAAGTGAATTTTACTTCGATAATTGATTAAAAATTGTCGGATTGTCTATCTATCTATCTATCTATCTACCTATATCTAATTAACGAATAAAGAAGAAACAGAAGAAAGCAGACGATAACTACGACACACAGAATAAATAATAATAATAAATATATTGAACTATAGATGGAAAGAGGACAAAATAAAGATAATAAAGATGATAATTAGAGAATAACTGAATAATAACGAGAAAAACAACAATAATTATAATAATAAGGAAATAATGATAATAATAAGGAAATAATGACAATAAGGAAATAATGACAATAATAACGATAATAATAAGGAAATAATGATAATAATAAGGAAATAATGAAAAGAATAACGCTAATAATAAGGAAATAATGAAAAGAATAACGATAATAATAAGGAAATAATGACAATAATAACGATAATAAGGAAATAATGAAAAAATCAGGAAATAATGTAAGAAATTGGGAAATACTGACAAAATAAGGAAAATAAATAAGGCGACAGGACATAAATGATAAATGAGGAGAAAATGTGTAATAACTAAATAAAATGATAATTGGTAGAATAGGGAAGAGGAAGAAGAGATAAAGATGGTAGAGAGAGAGAGAGAGAGAGAGAGAGAGAGAGAGAGAGAGAGAGAGAGAGAGAGAGAGAGAGAGAGAGAGAGAAATGTAGATAAAAGAGAGAGACAGATAGACAGAGAGATAAAGAGAGAAAAAGAGAGAAATAGCGAGAAAATGAAGAAAGAGAGAGAGAGAGAGACAGAGAGAGGGACAGATGCAGAGAAAAGAGGAGATAGAGATATGCAGACAGATAAAAGAAACAGATAGTTAGACGGAAACAGAGATAGACAGATAGATAGATAGATAGATAGATAGATAGATAGACGGAGAGAAGTGAGAGAGAGGGAGAGACACAGAGAGATAGATAGACAGGGAGAGAGAGAGAGAGAGAGAGAGAGAGAGAGAGAGAGAGATCACAGACTGCCAGATAAAAGAAAAACAGAGAGAGAGAGAGAGAGAGAGAGAGAGAGAGACGAAGACAAACAAATAAACAAATAAAAATCAAGAGAAACAAGAAAATTATGGAAAAACAAACAACAAAATCAAGAAAATAACAAATTAACGAATAAGGAATTACAAATAAAATAAGATAAACAAAGACTAAATAAGATAAACGCACAAACAATAGAAAGAAAACGAAAAAACAAACGATATTTTTATTAAACATTAAAATAAAAATGTTAAAACTCTGATTATTTTAAGATTGTTAATAAAAATAAAATAAAATAAAATACGTGAAAAATATTAACACAAAATTATCAATAACCACAAAATTAATTAAAAAAACTATAAAAATAAACAAAAATTAACAATATTAATGTTATAATAATTAAAAAATTTATAGAGAAATATTAAGAAAAATTACACATTAACATTAATTTAACAATATTAAATTAACAAATAAACGTAAAATATTAACAATAACATAAATATAACATCACCTATAAACCTCCTCTACATTAGGGTCAATATTTAACAAAACTAACATCACCTACCGCTATCAGGAGACACGTCACGGTGCATATAATTAACACAATTTAACTAAAGGTAACTAACTAACATAACTCACAGGTACTTTGCTCTGTAAGTTAAAAAATTATGTTAAATTTAATAAACTATAATGGTAAAATGTTTTCTATTGTTAACATTAAATTATATAGGATATTTAACATAATTTAACACGGTTGAAATACACATCACCGGGTAGAGTTAATTTGCGCCGTGATGTGGTAAGATTTTAACATAACATAAGATAGTTTATAACACAGAAAAATGTTGTAGTAACTAGCGCTCTGTTATACTAATTTTAACCTGATTTCACACATATTTAACACAATTATTCGAGAGGATTATTTTGACAATTGTTGTAGTGATAATTAAGGCGTTAAATTATTTTATTATTATTATTATTATTATTATTATCACTTATTATTTTCTATTATTATTATTAACCAAATTGAACCAAATTAAAAATAGTTTGAAAAAATATTTGACGATTAATTAAACAACAAATTATTTTTTTATATGAAAATAGTTATTACCGTCAATATCCCCAAATTATATTATTCAAATAATAATAAAAAAAAAAAAATCAAGATAATTACTTTGAGTTGAATTTATTCCCGGGGTTTAAAATAAATGATTATTGGGGTAAATTTACTTAGAAAAAAACTAATACAAATCTACGATCATTTTAACGTCTAGTACGAGTGTAACCGGGGGGAAGGGGGAAGGGAGGGGGGGAGGTGGAAGGGGAAGGAGGGAAACATATTAATTTATTTTATCTCTGACACACTTCAAATGGCCTTTATTCTTATTTATCAACTGTATTTTATATTTATTATCGCATTTTATCCTTTTTCTCGTTTCTGGTGGAATAAGAATCAAGATAAAAGGAAGAACTGAGTCACAGATGATGATGCTGGTGACACGTGTCTTTGTTATTGTTTATGTTGTGTATATGGTGACGTATTGATGACGTCACCGGTAGATGATGACGTAGCTGATGACGTCACCGGTAGATGATGACGTAGCTGATTATATTATTTACAGTGTTGCCATATTTAACTACGGTGTTTAGCGACGGTGCCATATTTAACGGAGGGATTCATTTCGTTATAAGAGATTCATTTCGTTATAAAGGACGTAATGACAGAACGTTTGTCTCTATGTAAAGGGGAAGGTAGTACTTATGTATAACGAACAGGACGGTAATATACTCGCTATAACGAAGTGAATAACAGAAAACCTCTCTATAACGAACAAAAAACCTCGATAAAACGGAGACATCAGAAAACCTCGCTATAACAGATATAACATCAGAAAACTTTCGCTATAGTGAACAGAGCATTAGAATACCTCGCTATAACAAACAGAGCATTAGAACACCTCGCTATAACAAACAGAACATTAGAACACCTCGCTATAACAAACAGAACATCAGAACACTTCGCTATAGTGAACAGAGCATCAGAACACCTCGCTATAACA